TTTTACATTATCTCTATTTTTTATTAAGAAAATCGACTTTCATTTATAATTGAAAAATGTCAATCATGTCAAATTTTGTATGAATCTAACAAAAACTCATTTTTTGAAAAATTGTAAAAATGGGCCCTTTTAATTGAAGACACTCCATATATAGAAAAAATGTGCTCGCGGCTAAAAATTAATTTGTGATATCAAGAATTTGCTTTCTTTAACAGTAAATAGTCAATTTTTTTCTTATTACCTTTTTTTGTATAATGCATTGAATGTTTGTTTAATTTTGAAATATGTACTTACGTACGTTATAGTGGTTAAAATTACCTCCAGTATAGCAATCGATGAATAGCATTTGATAAATTTATTCTTTTTTGTAAAAATTAAATCGATTGATAGAAGGATAAAAAGAATATAGAAACTAAAATTAATATGTAAAATTAGGTTAATAAAAGCGGAGAGAGCCCACCTTCAATAAAGTTAACTCACCTTGAGTTTCAACATTCGAAATCCCAATAATAGAAGTTTTTCAAGTTCCTCCTTTCTAAATAGAGTACAACGTTCGTAGTATTTCTTGTCTCTGTGACTTAAACGGATCTGAAAGAAAGTGCCTTGATTAGTAATCAATCCCTTATATATATATAAAAAGCTAAATTGATTAAACGCTTGATTAGTCCCAATATTAATAAAATACATCGTACGTTATAAAGGTGAATAGTGACTATACTTCTGAGGTAATACATTAACTACAAACCAATACTCTAACAATGCCTAACCCTAATAACAAGGCCTTTCAATAGAGACTTGTATGAATTTGGTCGAGATTGGGTTACTCTTCAATGAAACTTGCTGCGGAGATCATGGGATTCGTAAGTATTTTATACTTCTCTTGAATTTACTGGTAATAAAGGACTCTAATTCTTATATTATCTTTACTAACTAATTTCTTATTATTTGTCTCTCACAGCTGGTTTAAATTATTAAATTGTGAACTTTGAATCACGATGTCATGGGTTACAGGAATGATTTGTTGACCAACTACTCTTAGAACATTTTGTTAAACTGCAGCTTTTAAAAGATTCTATAATAAACAATAAATAAAAAATTTAATTTTATGCTTGAAACTAAAATTTGTAAAATTACAGGAACAATTAATTATTAACTTTTACCCTGTGAATGTTTTGATAAAAAAGAACTTTTTAAAAAACTTTAAAAATCTTCTGAACATTTTGAATTATTCAACAGGGAAATATTTCAGGAATAACCTCTGAAGATAATTCAGAAACGACCTCTGGAAATACTTCAGGAATGATCTCTGGAAATACCTTGGAAATGACCTTTGAAAATACATTGGGAACAATCTCTGGAAATACTTCAGGAATGACCTTTGAAAATACATTGGGAACGATCTCTGGAAATACTTCAGGAATGATCTCTAGAAATACTTCAGGAATGATCTCTAGAAATACTTTGAGAATGACCTGAAGAAACACTTTGAAAGCAATCTTGAGAAATATATTTAGCACAATTTGGAAACATATTTCTAAAACAACCTAAAAAATCATTTCTAGAATGATATTGGAAATAATCTGTTTGTTTGTTTTTGTTTTTAGAATCTTTTTCACTTTGATTACTGATCATCATTTTTTGCATATTAACTTTTTTTTTTTTGTCTTTTATATTTCTTGTGTCTTTACTTTGATTATTAATTTTTTTTCACTTTGCATATTTTTTAACATTTCTTGAACTTTGGTCCATGAAAGTTTTGGGCTTAGAGTGCTTGATTCATCATCAGAATCATCTTTTCTGCAAGATTTTTTAGATCCAGATATACTATATATTGATTGATCTCTTAGAATAAATATTACTAAATGTAAATTACAAAATAACAAATTAAGAACTAATATTTTTTTATTTGATTTATTAGAGGTGGCTTGTTTGAGTTTTAACACACTATATATTGATTAATTATGAAAAATTATAAGCGAAGCCATAAATAATTTTAATAAAAGCTAAATTAACATTTTAATAGGAGGTATATCTATTTTTCATATTCGTCATTAGAATTATAACCATATTTTAATCCTTTTTCATATAGTATAGAAAGAATATTAAGAAAGAAAGGTGTTTAGGTAAATGATATGTTAAAAAAAGTTCTTTAGAATGATTACAAATCTAAAATAATTGAATTTTCCTCCTTTATATTAATATTTTGTGATGTATAGACTCAAAAACTTGGAATAATACTTTTGACAAATGTTATATTGTCATAATTTGTAGATTTTGAATACTGTTATTAATTGATGGTTATTATATGCAACTAATCAAGGGGTAACGATCGAAAAGAAGCAAATCTAGCATCATCTACAAAAAAATATAGCTGACGTTATAAATTTATCATATGATAACACTTATTGCATGAGTTATCAGTCATAAGTTAATAAACAACTGGTAACTTGAAGAAGTGCTATAATAAGCAGAAAAAATTAAATACAAGCCCAAGGAACACAGGTATAAATTGGCCACATATATTGAAAATATTTATCATTATTATTCTTTAGTTAAAAATAAAATGATTTTAATATTATTGTTATCATCAGAGTTTTAATTTTGATGTAGACTACATTTTTTTATAGATAATCTAGGTTTGCTATTAAAAAGAAGTGATATTATTATATTTAATACAATACATTTATATTGTAATAGTCAAATAATTATATAAAAATTTATAAAAAATTTGTTTTCTGGCTTAGGCTGATTTTAATGAGATTTATATTAACAGGTCACCTGTATTATTCTTTAAACCATCAATTTAACTATGAATATACTGCAATTTAGACTATATTCCAATATAATTTGATAGCTTAATCACAGATTAATCATGAAATTTTCAGGCAAATTTGTCTACAAATCGGTGTAAGGGATAATTTCACTCAAAAAACATCTATTTTTGATTGTACCATTCTAAAACTAATATACATATCTATAATTTTCTTTCCGATTTGCCTAAAGGTTATATTTCAATGAACTAGACATTTTTCCAGGCAATA